GTTGATTGTTATTCTAATCATTCTCGCTGATATAAAAAACGATCTAATTATTTAAACTAATCAACTAAAGAGATTGAAGATTAGTTGATATGGAAAATGCTTAAAGTAAATTAAACTGAACAAGATGATGAATTGATTAAGATGATTAAATGAAAAAGTTGATTCGAAAAGGTTAATCATAAGGAAACCTATGGGAATCAGTTAATCAAGGACAAAGGTACAAGGCAAGAATAGATTGAAATAAATAATAATAGTTAAGATGATTAAACGAAATGATTAGTTGATGGATCAATCCAATCGAAAGTGAATTAAATGTTTATCTTGAAAAGTTTTAAGTGATTAGATAATTTAATCAATTATCGTATGAAATGTAACCTTCAGCACTTAGAAATACAATTTTCATGATAATCATGACAATAATAAGCTGGAAACGTTATGATTATTATTATGAAATAAAAAATTAAGATAAACAAGTAAACAAAATGATAAACAATCACGCAATCAAGTTGATGATAATTTCCAGCAATAAAGTTGATGGTTGATTTGGATTGTTGTAAATAACACCCAACTTCATGGTGAAAATGATATTATTTCAGTGAATTCAATGATAACCCTCATGAAAACAAACAATTGAGTTTTGTGACAATAATAATTATAAGATTAATCTGAAAATGCTGAGACAATGAATAAAATGTTTACTCAACTTGGTGACAATTTAGTTAACTCATAATGATAATAATAATAATATATATTAAATTGTTGTTAATACGATTAATGTTTCTAAAATCAATAGATGATAACAATTTGAAATACATGATCAGGATAATATAACAAGATAATTAAATTCACAATCATCACCAGGATATTTCAGGATTTCATGAAACTTTCTATGTGCTTAACCTTTGAAACTATCAAATCAATTCCAATCAACCTTAATTGTTTCACTCTTTCATTCATAACAAATAAATGATGACATTGTTAACATGAAATAATATCAGTTAATTGTTGGCGTTTCAAGAGACAAACAATCAACTTTTGCCTTTTTTTAAATTTAATTCACATCATCTAATTGTCTTTATTCATTTCACTCACAATTTAGATTAAATTGAATTAAACTTTTTTCTTCCATACAACCAACGATATTTACTTACGATTATAATTCATATCAGAAACTTTTTTTCGCTGAATTATCATCATGATCATGATTTGTTTTCCTTATTACATGTAAAAGGAGAAAAGATCTCAATATATTTATGAAAGAAAAACAAAAATTCTGAGTTAATTCAGCGTCTGAACAATTTTCCTTTCCAATATTTACCATCTGATTACAGTCATTACCATGATGGTTATGATAATTTTGCTTTTTTCTTTTTTTTCTCCCATATTATCATTCTGAGTATCGATGAAACAAATGATAAAAAAGGAATGAAATTGTGAAGAAAAAAGTAATATGAAAAACCCATAAAGAATCTGCATCATGATGACTATCATGAAAATGAAAATGAGCAAAAAAAAGGTATGAAAAGTAAGGTTAGAAAAAAAATCAGTAAATTGTCTGGATAAATGATACAAGAGCAACAACCAAACAACAACATGAGAACTCAGGTAAATATGTGTTTATACAGAATTCAGAGTTTAAAGATTGTATCAGAATTTTTTGCTTCTTCCTCCATGTTTCATGATGATGATAAAAATCATTGGATCATAAAGCCCAAGCCATTATGATGATATATTAATAGTGATGATGATGATATTTAATATGTCAACAGGAACAAATTTATTTCAATCAACAAAAAATACTGTCAAAAGAAATGAAGAAAAAAAAATAAACTTGATTCTGGAAATTCATTCCCAGTTCAACCCTGAAAATCAGTGGTAATCATTTAGGTGGTACAGAAAGAGAAAGGAAGAGGAAGTGAGAGAGAGAGAGGTGGAGATACAGGAAGGAAAATAATTTTGTGAAGATGAAGGTGAAATATTATTGGAGAGAAAAAAAATTATCTCGAATTGAATTTGTTTAAAAATCTAAACATAAATTCAGATCAATAAATCAAAGAGAGAAACTATCATGATAAAACCGAGTATTGGATCATGAATATTTCTGAGAATTTGATTTTTCCATCAATTAACTAAACACCTCAACTTTTCAAGTTCTGTGTTTTTTTTTCTGTTCAGGGAGTGAAAAAAAGAGGCTGCATAAGAATTGAGAATATAATAATAAATTCTGAATAGGAAAATTCTGAGTAAATTGTATGTTGTCAGAATTTTTATATCGATTGAAAAAAAAATTTCTTCCTCTCTCACTCAATCTCTAGATCTTTTCTTTCAACTACCATGAAATTCATTGACTCAATTTCCCTTTCAACCCATTGATGATATTATCTAAATAATATATTATCGTAGCTTATTATTATCTTCACTGGACTCATGATAGAAATGAATGTGCCAAAGTAATGATATCGGTGTAGTTTTATGAAAAAAATACTTTTTTTTTACCTCAAACATCAAGGTAACTTTTCAACATTCTGATGGTCAAAATTTTAGGCTATTATTTAGTGTGTGTTGATTCATTGTCCAGTTAAAAAGTTATCCTCATCCTCTTCCTCCTACTCAATGAAATTAATGATATTATCCTCAAACTTGATCGATGATCTTATCATGAAGGGATAAAAAACGAATACAGGAAACGAGAGAGAGAGAGAAAAGTTTTTCAACTTGATCAAATTCAAATTCCGAATTTCCCTTGAAACTCTGAATTTGGAACTTTTCTCCTCCACTTCCTCTCCTATGTCCCTTTAATCACATAATATGATAATGATGATAATCTTTTCACCTCCATGGTGGTGTCTTCATGCCTCCAGGAAAAGCTGAATAACACAAATAACATTATGTAAAAGTTTCGATGCTCTAACAATACTTAAAAAAGGTAAATCTTCAATTTATTTCCATGGTAAACAATTCATGAGAAGCTGAATGTTTTTCCAATCTTGTGTTGTACTATTGAAATGTTCAGAAATTGAGAAATTGAAAAGTTCCAACTCTCATCTTCTTCTTTTATGTTCTTAAGATTGATGAAAGTTATTCATTGGATATGAACCAATATCTTTCCAATAGCAATTGAAATAAATCAATTGGTCATTCTGGTTAACAAATTATTGTCCCAATTGAAGATGATGACATGATGATGATGAATATGTGCAATATAAAAGGTGAATGGGAAATGTTTCATGTCATAGTGTTTACAACATCCTTTCAGGGATTTTTGTTTTGACTCGATTGAGGTCCAATGGTCAAACAATTGAATGAATTGTCATTTCAATCAGCTGAACGACATGGACTTATTGTCCAAAAATATTACCAGTTAAAATGAAGATTAGATTAAGACATTGATTTTACAATCTTCTTGTTATACAATTTAAATTCAGCAAGAAAAAAATAATCACTGATTTGAATTGATTGTGGAAACCAATTGTTCAACTGTCAAAGTTTTTGATACAAAAAGAAAAAGAGAGAAACAAGTTCAATCGTAAATCAATATAATAAACATGATGATTCCTGAGCTTTCATGATAACTAATCAAGAGTAAATTCCAACAAGAAAATCGCATAACATGATAAGTAAACGATTTCGTTGAGAACCAGAAAAAAAGAGAAACAAAAAATTGACAAAATCGTAAGGCGATTAGAACTCAGTTCGAAAATGAACTGTTCAAACAGAATTCTATTCGACTCAGTAATACCATAATACCCTCGTTCTCTCCGCCTTCTTTTACCCTTGAACATTTTGGTAATCAAATGATTATAATAGATATTTAATTCTGACAAATGAGCTTTTCCCAAATAGGTTGATGGTTTTTACTTCACTTCTACCTGGTTGAAAGTGTAATGATTACAATCAATTTAACAGCTCATCCCTAATTCTGTCTTGTGATTAAGTTTCAATTGTAAATTTGGGTTGAAAAAGTTCAGCATTCAATTCAGTGGTAACAGAGTATATATAATACTCAATGAGAGCTAATCAACTGATTAGTTAATATGTTAGACATTGAGATATTTATTTCCAATAGATCAAGAAAAATAATCAATACAACAAATCAGTGATGATTTCAATGAGGATTAAGATTAGAAAGATTAACTCTCAATGAAATATAATATCTAATCAACTAAATTATTCATAATCATGACATGAAATATTAATTGTTACAAAAATATTAATAATTCTTAACAAAAAGTAATCATGAAACAATTTTTTTGCACAATGTTAATCCTTTGTAAATCTTGTTAATGAGTGAACTTGAAGTTAATCAGATTTAATTATCAAATTAACTTCAAGTTATTAACTTTTCTCATGTTAATAATATTCAAGTATAAGAATCAACTTAAAAATAATCCTAATCAAGAAAGAAAGAGAAAGAGAAAATATAAATTAATCTAATCGGAAATTGATTAAGCCTATTAACAATTCATCGTAAGTATTGAAATATTGATTATATGATGATTAAAATTAAAGACTTGAAAAGTTTTCAATAATAATCGTCATTGAAAATGATACAATAGACATCATTTATTTATATACCAACATATAAATAGCTGATATCATGGTTACTCAGGATTCTGAAAATTGAACTTTAAGGATCGATAAACTCATTGAAAAGCTAAATATAAGGTAACATTAATATTCATTGGTTAAATTAACCTTAAACCTGATCTTATTTTTGGATAATAATATAAAAAAGTAGTTGAAAATATCTCTTGAAACCATTAGAACTTGAATGGAGGAAATTATTTGCACATTCGATGAGGTTTCACTTTGCCTTTATGGTCACAAAGACTATCCATCAAAACCATTGAATCACACAATTTACTGTATGAATTGGAACTGGGTGATTGGATTAACAGGATCAATTCGTTGGTGGTGTTGATGGGTAAGGAAACATGATGATGATGGGAAAAAAAAGATCCTTCATCTGCAAATGTAATGATAAAGAATATCAAACTTACCTCCCCAATCAAATCCACTGAACCTTTTAACTGAATCAACCATGTACCTCATATAATTGGTTACCATGGTACGAAAATCAGCTGACATTTGCATCTTTCAGATTCAAATGTTATTATGTATCGATAGATTTTACTGTTCTAGTAACAGCAAGAAAATGATCAAGAATCAAGGAGAAAATAAGTGATGAGGATGCTGAGTATTGTTATAGTAGTAGAAGAGTTCAAATAATAAGATTATCATCCAATCACCAGGAAATAATATCACAGTTTTCATGTCAATCAAAACCAGAATGTTGTAAAGATGTTTAATCAACGATTAACATGATTATAATTTAAGAGCTAAATTGTTGGGGGTTTTCATATATATATATAAGTTGAGTTAATAGTAAGGTTGAACTAGATTCATTTGCATGATCATCATCATTATGATCATTAGCATAATCGTTATCGTCATTGAATAAACAAGAAAACATTGGACAACCAATAAGGTAGATAAACAATTAGACCAGAATTATTCTTGATTCGTAACATTTGCTATTGATTGTTGATTCATCTTTGTAGATAATTACTGGTGATTTACTTGGATTTTATTAATTATCATCATTATCATGAGAATCTTTTATTTATGTGTAAGTGGAAAATTATGTTGAGATGATGCTGAGTAATTGACTTTTATCATTATCAACCAAAGTGATACTATTAAGATAATAATAAAAATACTATGTGTATGTTGAGTATGATTGTTGTTGTTATGATTACTTTTTGGTGAGAATCAGGTTGACATTGAGTATTGATGTTGTTGTTGATCATTTGGATTTTGTTTATTATCAAAACATTAACAGCACGAAATGATAACACACAAAGGTAAAGGTAAAAAATAAATAAACAGAAAATGTGACGTTGATAAACAATTGGAGACAAACACACAAAATGAAATGAGTGGTAAGAAACTGATGTTGTATTGGATGGACACAGTGTGACAAATGTGTAGAAAAGGATTTTTAAGTTTACATCTCGGAAATGATGAAGATGATGAGGATGGTAAGGCAGTAAGAGGGAGAGAGAGAGAGAGAGAGAGAGAGAAAGTAATGAAAGAGATGATACAATTTACGTTTGTTGTACTTGTGAATGATGAGATGATGACTGAGATGAGGAATTGACTCTATTCAGTTTCAGCATGCAGCAGAATTCATATTAACCCATGAGCATGAGGAGTAAAGTGTATTGGAAAACAGGGAGGGAGGAAGAGAGAGGCTTAGAATAGAGAGTGAGAAACGGAAAGACAGAGAAGAGAGACTGGAAAAGAGAGAGAACATTAGATGACTTATTTAGGAGAAAGAGAGAGAGAAGAGAGAAGTAGAAAGAGGAAGATGTGGTGGAGATGGAGGTGGAATATTCAAACATAGATTTAAAACCAAACGAAGATAAAGAAAAAAATCCTCGAAAATACGTAAGAATAGAAAAACTTTTGGAAATGATAAATTCTGATGAGAATGATATTCTTAACTGTGGATTTATTATAATCATCATATAATTTGACTTTCTTTTCTCCTCTTTTTATCATCCTAATCATCTTTATCCTTTGTTGACATTCACTTTCTCTTCATTTGAAGGTAAAATATGAGAGATTTTCAAAGAATATCAAATCTTTTAACCTCCTCCCAGTTGACTGGGAATGATTATAATTCGACTTTTATCAATTGTTTTCTGCTAACTATCATGATCATCGCCATCATCTTGAGAATGATTTTTGATTGTTCTCCATTGTCAATCTCATATTTTCCTCTTCCTGCTCAACTCTTGACTTTTAAGTCTGTTTACCCAAAGAAAATCCTTTTGGATATCATATTATCCTCCTTATATCCACACAAGAAAATATCAACCCAATTGTAAGGTTAATAATCACCTACAGACATAAACAGAATTCATCCTCCAAAATTGAAGATATTTATAGTTATTCAGGTGAGAAAATCATATAAAGTGGTTATGTTGAAATAACTTTTCTATTTAACTTTGATTAGTTAAAGATAAATAATTCATCATGATGATTCTTGTTCATCATCATCTTGTTATCACCAAGAAAAAAAGTTGATTCAGTTTTTTTTCAGCTTTGAGCTTCAATCTTTTATAACTTCACCATCATGAATGAAAAAAACATCATGTTGACCATTAAATGAACAATTTCAGTCCTTTATTATTAGATTAACCCTTTTAATCGGGATATGAAGAGAGAGAGAGAGACATGATCAGGTTCAGAGAAGTTTTTTCCCTGAACTATCAATATTACCCATGGATTATTATTATATTTGGATTAGTTGATTATCCTTCATAATCGTTTTGTTGGCACTTTAATGGCGCAAATAAAGTAAATGATTAATATGAAAAATAACAATCATCTTGCTGTTTACTTAATAATGTTCAGGATTATCAATGATTTCGATAAATTTGTTCATTATCACGGTAACATGAGGAGGATCTCATGGAAACTCATTGATTTTCAAGGTTAATCATGAGAACACAAATCCTGAATTGATTAACTTGATAGTTAATTTTGGCTGAACGTTTTCGAGTCTCATTTTCAATCTTCATCAAGCTAATTGTATGTTAATTTAATTCTTGCTTATAAATTTGTTCTAATCGTTGATTCTAATGTTTACAGGAAGTGAATTGAATTAATTGATTATCGTCAGAACGATAACTGATACAGGATGATAAAGTTCCACTACTTGAACATTTTGCTCATCATTCTTGGTGTATTTATATTTTCAGGGAGAAACAAAAATCGATAAATTTTCAATCTCTTTTAACTTTTTTCATTCACAAGTAACTTTCAAAATCGATCACATAAACTCTCTCTCTCTCTCTCTCTCTCTCTCTCTCTCTCTCTCTCTTAATTGCTATTTAATTGCTTATCCGATTAACCACAATATCGATTTGATAACAACCAAACATACGGTTTGTATTAGTGAACTGTTAATTGAAAAATCGGTTAATTGTGAGATGATGATCAAGATTATTATCAAAATTGACTAAATTCAAACTTAATCAATTCGTTCAAGTAGTTGAGTTGCTTTTTGATTGTCGTTGTTACTGTTTTTCATAAATGAGGAAATGATTAATCTCCATGATCATGATTAATTAGTTGGAATTAACAAACGAGTCATTTGATTGTAGTTTTGGTTTCACGTTATATTAAAAATCAGTAAGTTTGAATTATACAATTGATTAATTTGTAATTTAAATTAATCGCAATGACTTTGAATACGATCTCATTTCTTGAGAAAAAAAAAGATCAAACAATCAATGAGTTAATCATATCATTATTGTTAAGGCTTAATGATTAAAGGGGATTAGAGATGATGGATTAAGAGCAGAATGAACAGACGATGGTGAAATACTACCTCGAGGATTATACTTTTTGTCTACACTCAGTAAATTGATTTAATTTTCAACAATAAGTGACTCTCTTGACAATCTAAATTGTCGTTTGATTGTTGAATTCAGTGATTTTTTTGTGATTATCACTGGGTTAGGTGATTAGACGAAAAAGATAATCCAATAATTGGATTCCAATTAAAGGTAAAATAGAAAGAGAGAGATACAATTTTCATCTTAAGTCTGGATCATCAACTAGAAATGGATGAGAGAGACAATCAGAAGCCTTGGCACGTTTATCTGGATCATATTCCAACATCGGCTTAAGAAAATCCGTAAACTCTTGGGCTACATTCGATTCCCATTTATATTTTTGAGTTAATACTTCATAAAGTCCCCATGGTTTAAAAGCCATAATGCTTTTCAATTGACCTTAAATACAACGGAAACAAAAATATTAATTAACAAGTGGCATAAATGAGAAAATTTCTCTTTCCATATTCACTGAATTTACCTCGTCGATTGAAAAAATCTTTGGAATAAGTACCAGCGAGCGCAATATGACGAGGAATTTCACCTAAAAGTTCAATTATATGAGCTAAATGATCTTCATCTCGATTATAATCTTGTCCAGAATGAGGTTCGAATAAATAATCGCCAGTGGCCAATTCGAATGCCATACATGCTGTACTCCATATATCAGATGGAGCAGAATAACCTGAGCCGAGAATAACCTCCAAACAACGATATTGTCTCGTTTGAATATCTTCCGTGAAATGATGATTCTGGAAAGAAGATGAAAAATTTTGGTTAGTGAATAGATAACATAAGCATGAAATATCCATATGATCCAAATGATTAATGACAAATATTTGCAACAATTAATTTTTTTGCAACTATTATGATCAACTTACAATCCAACAAGCATTACCAAGATCAGCAATTTTTACTTTAATATCACAAACTTCACTTGCAGGATCAGGCATATGTGTTACTAGTTTCTGGTTATCTGTGAAAATAACGGAAGTCAATAAGGATCATGTAAAGTTCATGGTGATGAAGATGATGACCAAGTTTGTTTGTATTTTTGTGTTGAAAAGTTAAGTGTAGGGTGAAAAGAGAAGATGGAAGAAAAAAATTGAGAAGAAAGTGAAAGATGCAGAAAAAAATATTAGATTCTAAAAATAAAATTGAGTAAATATACAAAAATAAGCATCAAGAGTGAGTGTAAGAGAGACGCAGAGAGAGAGAGAGAGAGAGAGAGAGAGAGAGAGAGAGAGAGAGAGAGAGAGAGAGTTGAGAAAGTGATACGGTGAAGGAAGATGAAGATGAAAAGGTAAACAAAATATATACCAGAAGATTCATTTGGCCCTGCATCGGAACTTGTGTTCAAATTGAATGTTCCGTTATCATCATTTGTTGATAGTGGACTTTCAGGTTCATCTTTAAGTGGTGATTTATAATCATCTTCATTATCATCATTAAGCAGAGTTTTATCAGAATTATCAACAGTAATTAGACCATTATTATTATCCGGTTCATCAAATTTTTGGTGGTAATTGGCTCGTCTTTTACTTTACCATTACAAATAGATTGACTAACGGGTGATTGGCGAGCTAAATAAAGATATTGAGATTGATTTAATTCAATTAATTAAAACATATCGACAAAATTTGGTATATTAGGTGAAAAATGATCACAAAAGAAATTGTGTTAATTGTAAGATAAACTGATTGCTTACGGCTTCTGGATGAATGCCCGGAAATATTATGACGACGTTTGGATTCATCTCCTTTGACATCATCATCAACAAGTGTTTCTAATTTAATGCGAACTGAATTAACTTCACTGTTCGTTATGCATTCACTAAGGTCTGAAGGTTCAGCAATCATCTGATCAGCCTCTTGACTATACAATTTAAATGGCAAGAAAGAGATAGTGAAGTATATTAATCATTTTAGGTTTTCTTTGACAAAGATCGATGTTAATTAATGAAGATCTCAACAAACCTGGTATTGAGTTGACCAGAACATGAATCTAATTCTTGATTCTGTGATTCGAGCATTTGTTGTTGCTGCATTTTGGCTTTTTTCTTCAGTTTTCTCTTCTTATTTTTGGACATTTTACTACTTCGAGGTAACTCGAATTGATCTTTCGGAGATGTACAACTCATTGGAGCAGGAGGTGGCTTTGACTGTTCAGGGTTTTCTGCTAATTCTTGTAATTGAAGTTCTAATAATTTTTGCTGCCTCTTTGCTTTTTTCTTCAATTTTTTCTTCTTATTTTTCGATGTTACTGTTTCACTAGACTTTGGTGGTTCAAATTGGTTTGCTGGGGCTGAACAGATAAGAGATCCAGGTAATTTAAGTCCTAATTTATGCAAATGAGTTGCTTCAATTGCTAATCTACGGATATACGATTCATCAACCTCGATTAAAATATTTTCCGGTTTAATATCGGTGTGGATTATCTGACACTTTGTATGGAGATAATCTAATCCTTGGAGTACCTGTTAATATGAAAAAAAATAAAGATAAAAACAATCAGATGAAAAATAATAAAAATTCCTAAAAAAATCATCTTACAACAACAATACATTAAAAGAATCAAAATGTCATTACTTAGAAATTTTCTTCGACATTTCCAAACACATCAAAACCGATTCATGATAATCGATTTCAATAAAAATTAATATATATTCTTTACTTACCTGCTTAATTATGGACTTGACATTTTGAAGAGGAATCCCTTCATAATTTGAGCGAATGATCAATTTCAATAGATTCTGACCAAGAACTTCAAAAACCATGCAAACATCTGAGAGAAAAAGGGAGAAAAGAACAAAGGAAAACAATAATTACACAGATTGAACATAATTCTCAGAATTGATCTTGACTATGAATAAAGACAGAAATATATAACTTACGTGTTCCATTGACTCCATTGATTCTAAAATCATCTAAAAGCTGAACAACTTTACTTCGATATGGATTACCGGGTTCGCCCTCTCGAACCTAATTAGGATTGGACAAAAGGAAATATAAACAAACAAAACCAATTGTTAGCGCTTTTTTTTATAACAAAATAAATAATCAATTGTTGAAGTTGTTTTAGTTGTTGTTTTCTCTCAACAATTAACACCAATAATCAACAATAGAATTACATTTTTAAGGAGTTTAATCTCATCCAAAGCCGTCTCCGTGTAATGGTTCGCACTTTTGACAACCTTCAAAGCAACAAATCGTTTAACTCTGTAACCAAGGGGAAAAAAGTGAGAAGAAAAGAACAGAGAAGAAGAAAAAAAAACACAAAGAAGATTAGAAAAAAAAGAGAACAAAAAAATTGACAGTCAGAGGAAAGGGTAAAATTAGATTGAAGGGAATGGTAGAATAGAACAAACAGAAAAGGAAAAATTGTTCTATTCTTTTTCTGTTTTTTTTTCTCATCAAGGTAAACCAATTAATATAATTACACTAAATCCCAACACAACCAGACAGTTGAAAAGTGTCCCCATCCAAGTTTCCTAATCACATGGTAACGGGCATTGAAAACATCACCAATTTTAATCAAATGATAACCTCCTCTGGTATAATCTGCTGGATCCTCTTGTTCATCCCAATCTGATAGACAAGGTTCATCATCATCGGGAATAACCTCACCAGAATACATAATTAACCCGAAAAACACTACGAAGAACAGAAAACCAAAATTACACTCGATTAAATAACAAAACAATTCCAACCTTAATTGTTATTTAAACAATTTTGAAGGAAAACAAATCGAGAGAATGAAAATAAAAAGATATTTTCAATTCTATCGAATATCCAAAATATCGGATCCATTTATCTGATATTCGAATGCAAAAAGTGTCGCCATCTAACTTCTCTCTATTCAACGAAAAAAGTAAACAAATCAACATGTTGTCTTGGAATGGAAATTGAATTAATTCCTATTTCATTTCCTTCTCTCTCTCTCTCTCACTTTGATATCGTACTTTTTACAACGACAAATAGTTGATTCAATTACCATGGAAAGTGCTAAATATTTAGTGAAAAAGTTATCCTTCATTATTCCGATTGGATTAACATTGACCGATCGAGTTGTGACAATTGCTCAAGTCGATGGTGAATCGATGCAGGTATTTGTTTAATTGTTATTCTTAATTTTCCAAATTATATTTATTTATATTTCTTTTAATTTTCCTAGAATCAACTAATAATAACTGTTTCTCTTTAAATTAGCCTGCTTTTAACCCAAAGACATCCGGCAAGGTGAGCAATGATGTCGTTTTAATCAACCGGTGGTCAGCTCGTAATTTTCAATTCAAACCCGGAGACATAATTGAAATAAAGTGAGTAAAAACAGTGTTAATTGTTTGTTTACATTTTTATTAATCAGTGGCAATTTAAATTAGTTTAAAAAATCCTCTATTCTGTTTGATTTTAATGATAATTTTTGATTAATTACAACAAGTGGTACAGCGATTAACATCATAATCGGTCCATATATTTTTTGTATCTTTCGTTTGTTGATTTGCCCATATGATCATAATTATCCAGTTAGTCCAATCATCATCTAATTGTCATTATTGATTTATTGATTAATCTTTCTCTTGCTCTCTCCCCTCTCTCTCTCTTGTACCCTCTCGTTTCTGTTGTTGTCATTGATGAACCAATTGGGATAATAATCAACAATTTATACTTTTAACCAATACAATTAAGGATTTCCAATCATTCTAATTACTTTTCTCTTTCATAATATAGTAATAATATCCATGTTGAGCATCCTAATCCTACCACAATAACAACAAAAGAAACCACAGAGATCCACTTGAATGAAAGATTCTATGGGAATTAAACTTAGATTGCATATATTTAATTCGTTCCGATGAATCCAATTATTTTTTCCTTTACATTATATAACCTCTTCACCATTCAGTCTCATAATCATCATCATCTAAATCACGATTCACTACTTATCAATTACTTATTTTTATCAATGGAAAAAAAAGTTTTTATGTGAGTGTGTGTGTGTATGTGATAATCGTAATAATTAGTTTGGACAGTTAAGGTTGAATCTCTTGATCAAGAGGAATATGAGTTAATGGAATTGGTGCCATATTATGAACTAAACTTTTCTTTGGTGTTTCAAATTGTCTCTGTGAGTTAAATTGTTGAGAATGCCTATTGACCACAATGAAAGCTCTTCGAGCACCAAGAATGGTAAAGGCAAGAATAACAATCGCCAAGGCAGTTAAGGTCAATATGAGAGCAATGGCAAGGTAAGAAGTTGTATCTCCTATTGAATCATGTAAAAATGATGATGATGATGATGATTGATCACTTGATGAGAAAGGTGATGATGAAGATATTGATGAATCAGAAGATGTAGTTACCAATGTACAACTTAATTGGATATAATTTCCATGAGTTTCAGAATCACGAACAGCAATACACAGTTTATATCGTTTTCTAGGTAAAAGATGTTTAATTGTGTAACTACGAAGAAAATGTCCAACCGAAATTGATTCGAACCGATCACTTGGATCGTCTTCCCTTTTATAAAGTATTTGATATTCTGGGAGTGATGAGGTTGATGATAATGATGATGGTGATGATGATGATAATACTTTTGGAGTTAATTTGCTTGTTGTTTGATGATTAAAAGCTGAAGTCCCATTCCAAACAACAGAAACAAAATTTGACGAAACACCTAAAGGCCAAATTTGAACTTTCATATCGTCGACAGTTAAATTATATACTAATTCAACTGATCCTTTACTATTTTCAGCTGTACACTTATATTGACCCGAATCACTTGACCTTAAATGATTGATTCGCAATTGATTAGTTAACTTGATTAACTGTATATGTGAATTGTTGATTGTCTCATTGAAAATAATTCCCGATGGTAGTTTCCATAAAATTGTCGGTATTGGCACTCCAATGGCACGACAATTAAGTGTAATTTTGTCACCAATTGAACCATTTAAAGTAATCATATTGTTAATTGTTGATTGATTATTAGTTCCATTGGAAGATGATGATGATGATAAATTTTCTGTTAAAATTATTGACGGAATACATTCATTTGGTATACTATTTATATCAAGATCTTTAATTAACATTGGCATTGATTCATTTCCATCTTTCTGGTAACAAGTTAATTGTTCACTATTTAATATTAACACTTTACTCCGATTAGCTTGATTCAGGCACTAGAATTGTAGAGAAAGGAAAAAAATTAACAAATTGTTACAATTTACGAATTGTAATTGGCGCTTAATCAAAGTGATAAACATACATTACGAATTCTAATATCTTGAGATTTTTCTAGTTCTAAGGTCATTGGAAGGCTTTTCATGGAATGACCGTGATGACCTTGACCTTAGTACCAGAAAACTCTTACGATATAACGTATTACCTAATCTTTTGCACTAATTGTGATAATTTAGCTTAAATTGTGCTGTACAATTGTGATTTACTTTGTTTCATTTTTGATTGTTGATCCTTTTGATAATCTAATTGATTGTTTTTCATGCATTTTCACCTTAATCAGCATTTCATAAGATTTAATCATTAATCAAGATTTAAAAAGTTTAATCAACATTATTAATGGTTAATTTATAATTCATTGATCGTAGTTAATAGTTGCTTTGCTTATTAAGCAAAAAACAAAATAATATACAAAATGTATAACAAAACTAATGCCTTACAATTAACTATTTTAATAGCAATCAGCTTATTAAGATTGATTGAATCTCATAATTACTAAATCTATTTCTCAATTAGTTACAATTAAACACTAATAAACTCAAATTAAGACAAAAACTAATCTCAAACTCAAACCAAAATAATGATCACACAATCAACCATTTATATGGTCACTCGAACTAAATTAAAACTAATCAATAAACAACAATTAATATTTTGATAAGCAAAACAACACACACACACACACTTTGAATATCTAATTATATGAATTGTTATAATTTAATACGTTCTGATAATTATGTTAATAACAATCAAGGCAACGAGCAAAAAAAATAGATTGTGAGTTGAATAATTATAATCATGTTAATCATGATGATAATAATTAAACACAATGTTATCACAATGGATATATTAGTTTTTACACTTAACTATGTCACTTTCATATGTTATATACTAAATTGTTACAACAATTTACCTCATAACACTGAGAGTGAATTTAAACAATAAGTAAATTGTTAATAATGAAAATTTTCAATTATCTTTCAACCAGAATGTATTATTAATAATCGGAGGTTATTTTAACCATGAAAAATTCATAATTCATAAGATTGATAATTTGCTTTTTTTTAATAACTTTTACTCCCATCCTATTGTCTCAATGATGAGAATGATAATTACATTGATGCTTTTATAATATTATCACAATTTAGTCGCAAGTTAATTTTGTTTTTTTCTGTTAAATCACCTGATCATTATCAACATTTACTATAATGTTTTTACTTGTAGAGAGTTAATTAATTACCATGATAATAATGGTTGATTAATATTTACCTGATAAAGATAATGTATATTACAATCACAGAGAAGTGGATTTGATGTTAATGAAATGATTAGTTGATGATGATGATGATTTGGTTGTTGTTGTTGTTGTTGATGATGATGATATTGTTGATAATGATGATGATGATAATGATTATGATTGGTTGTTATTGTATTTGCATGGTGAATATGATGATGAACCTGATTAACTATTGTTGTTGATGTTAATCGATGATGATCAATAATATTATTAATCATTTCACCTTCCAAACTTGATAAACTGTTATTATCTAATTGTAATCGGTTTAATCTTGGTGTACCAAGAAAAGCTTGACTATCAATTAATTGTAATCGTTTATTATTAGATAAATCTAATTGTATTAAATCAGGTAAATCCCAGAAAGTCATTCTTTCAATAAGAGTTAATTGTTGACAAGATGAGATTGATATTGATTGTACTGGAAGATGGACAAAATCACCAGTGGTCAGTATAACCAAACGATTATCACTTAAATTGATATTTTTGATACGTTTTAATGATTGTAATGCAATCGAGGGCACTTTAGTTAATTGATTATGGCACAAATTAATTGTTTCCAACATATCTAAACCAACCAATGAATTATCATCCATAACATGTAAATTATTACGATCAAGACTTAATTGTCGTAAATTGTTTAGGAAACAAATATACCACCAGGTAAATGGGTTATACTATTTCCATCAAGATTAAGTACCTAAAGAAAATTAATTATAAGCAAACAATTAACTAACAATCAATAAACGAGAAGAACCAACAACAAAAACAACCAATGTTAATCAAGGAATCAATTAATTCAGATTAATAGTCGTTACTATTGATAAATTTTTGCCTCTTTCATCATTTGGAATCAAGTTAATCAAAAATTTTCACCACATCTTCAATTGATTGTCATCATTTGATTATTTACTTTAATTAAGAATTGTAATTCAATCTTCATGAGTTGATTTTCCAATTAGGTATCATCTTGATTTAATTCATTTATTAGGTTTATCTTTTTTGTAACCATCACTTGATTGTTAGCTAATTGTGTATTCAATTAACGTACAATCCAAATGTCTATGTGACTTTAATTGAATGGAATCAAAAGTTTATCTTGGAAAAAAAGTTACACGAAAAAAAAATAAAACATCGTATATACTAATCTTAAAAGTTACCATCAAGTGAAATGATTAAATTGTAGGTTAATTAATTATCTCTTTCAGAGTAACTAAATTAAACTGTTAACGTTGATTATGATTGTTGTTTGATTATCACTCGCCAACAACGTTATTCTTGAATTACGAGACTTTTATCCTCAAATATATCAACTAATCTTTTTTTCTGATCCTCGAGTTTTTCAGTTACCATTTATCAGTTTGTTCAATGGAGAGAAAACAAAGAAAAAAAAAGTTCTAATACTCGGAAATGAAATGTAATCCTCACATTAATATAAGATGATTAGGTTTGAATATACGGACGAATAAGTTTCTCGAAACAATGTGAAGGCCATTTTACCTCTCACACTCTCTCATCTCCCAACGATTTACTCACATGGATTCAACTTGACGGACAAGATGATGGACATTTTGTTTCCAAGAAATAGTTACCACCAATGATTCTGATTTCATGAAATTCTAATATCTCATCATGATGATCGTAATTGAAAATTGAGTTTGAAATTTTCACTTTTTTCCTCTCTATTCTCAGTGTCAGTCTACAGAATTTCTTAGCTCGTCCATTTTTGATTCGAACCACGAAAAGAAATCGTTAACTTTAATGTTCTAATCTTTCCAAAGT